TGAGCTACCAACCAGCCCCAAAGGCTGTGAATCTCACCACAGATTAATCATGTAATAATAATAATAATTCTACTATGGTGTTGAGCTTCCAATCTGTTGAGTGTTTCCTCTAGATAAGCCTTGCCAACTGCTTAGAGATTCTTTGATTTGTGTGTGTGTGTCTGTGTGTGTGTTTTAAAAAACGGAGACTTCCTTTACTGACTGAGCTTCAGATGCAGAGCTGCAGGGAAGGCAGAGGGGAAATCACTCCTTCCTGTATTCTCCTACAACAAATGTGGCATCCTTAAAAGTTAGACTCTTCCTCTGCTTTGATTTATTTGCAGCGTTACTCACTTCTCCCGTGTCTGTCTGGGCTTCATCAGATGTTCCATGTCGGTGCTAATGCCTCTCTCACCTAAATGGATTTGAACAGACCTATAAAATGACAAATTGTTGCAGGCTCTTGACACCGAAGCGTTTGGGAGATTTACATCCCGGCTGCATATATGTGGGAAAGGGCTGACCCATTTCTGCTGTCGAGAAGTAGGCCAGTTGTGGCTTGAAGACAGTCTTTAGCAACTTCCGTGTGGCCGTGCAGGCACTTGCTAAATTCAAGCTTGGGGATTAAGCGAAGAAATTGTGTCGAACTTTAGCTGCTGAATTATTTTGATTCCGATCTTTTCGGCTTCTTTTAGCAAGAGCACTTAGAGTTATATACCGCTTCACATTGCTTTCCAGTCCTCTCTAAGAGGTTTACAGAGTCAGCCTCCTGCCCCCAACAATCTGCGTCCTCATTTTACCCACCTCGGAAGGATGAGTTAATCTTGAGCCTGCTGTGATCCGATCTGCCAAATAGCAGGCAGCCGGCAGGCAGCAGAAGTAGCCTGCAGTACTGCACTCCAACCACTGCGCCACCATGGCTTTTGGTCTGTTCCTGTCCCTCTTTAGGAATTTCAGATCTGTAACTCAGCACTAAGAGTTCCGTGGCAGCGGCTGGATGGTGTCCAGGGAGCCTGTAAAATAAACACGTAGCAATGGCACTTGGACTTATGCACCGCTTCACAGAGCTTCCCAGCCCTTTCTAAGGGTTCACAGAGTCAGCCTCTTGCCCCCAACAATCTGGCTCCTCATTTGACCCACCTCTGAGTCAACCTTCACTTGGTGAGGATTGAACTCTTGGCAGTGAGCAGAGTCAGCCTGCAATGCTGCATTCTAACCACTGGGCCACCACAGCTGACTAAATCTCTGAATATCTGTAAGAGGTTCTATTTGGTGTGAAAGAATTCAGGTAGTCCAAACCCTGGCGGATTAGAGCAAAGGATTCAACTCCTTGCTCAAGCAGGGGACCCTATGCCACGTCCTGCTAGCACTGATGCTGTTACCTAGTTGGGTTCATGAAACGTCTACAAGAAAACCACCAAGCTCAGAGAGCACAAAGGACCCCCCCCACACACACACACAATTCAACCCTCGGTTCAACTTCCTTCTATTGATATGCAGGACATTTCCAGCTTCTAAATGTGGCTCCAGGGAAGAAAGGCCAGCTCTGAACCTTCCTCTTGTTTAATATCTTGCTTCTAGGTGACTTCAACCAGAGGTTCCTCAGAGGCCCTTCAGGAGTTATGTCCCTTTCTCTCCAGCTGCTAGTATATCAGTCATTTAGCTATTGGTGGGCGCTTATGGGAATAAGAGGCTTAAAGTCTCCCCTGGGTTGATTTCTCTCTATAAATTTACCTTAGAAGACAAAGTAGAAGCAGGACAGTGCAGGGGACTTAATGCACCTTTGATGTAATGTCTGACATTGGGGGCACACGTAGAAAATCCAGTTGGGATCTCTGCCGTAGGAGACAAAACCTCTCCCCCTTTCTCAGCAAAAAGCTCATTTTTGAAGCTTTATTCCTGGAAAAGTTTTCTCCAGAATGATGAAACCCAAAGGGACAAGTCTTTGTTAGAAATTAAGCCCCCTCGGGCCCATTTTTCCATTCCTTATGGCAGAAAAACTCATTAAAATTGAGAAAACGATGAATCTTCCTTGATTAGCTGTTGGCAACCCGCGATGTAAAATTTTGTAAACCTTACAAACTTCAACCACTTATTGAAATGTAATCTGCTTTTTTTTAAACGTCTGTCTATATATTAAACTATTGCATTTCCCTCCCACCCTCCTCTGGGTATTATTAATTAACCAGAATTAGCCATAGACCTCTGCACTGCATTAAAATAATTTCCCAAGAATTATTCCTATCAGTGTTAATGTAACTTCATTAGTAGCCAATGAATAAAGCTTAATTCCCATGCTTTCTCATTCTAGCTTTATGGCGACCAGCAGCTGACCAGGACTTTCAATAAATTAACTTGGGCAAAGATTTCCCAGCGATCTAAACATTCTTGATTTAATCGAGCAGGGAAGGGAGAAGAATATTCCGTTGCTGGCAATGTTTGGGGTTTAAATGAGGGTGCCAGCTTGTCTGGGAGGGCTTCACGCTGCCCTGCGAAACTTTCAATGCCTGGAAACTGTTGGAAACAATGGTTTCCGATGCAGGAACTCCAACCGTGACATCAGCTGGGTATAAACTGAGGGCAAATCTCAGGTTGAGCTACAGCGAGTATTTTACAACATTGATCTTTGCATGGGAGTGAGAGACTTTGAGGCAGATCTGTGTAGATCCCAAATTGTTTTAGAATGTAGAGTAGAGTAGAGTAGAAATCTAGACTAGACTAGAATACAATAGTTGGGACTTTGGAGGTCTTCTAGTCCAACCCCCTGCTTATCCAGGAAACCCTATACCTATACCATTTCAGACAAACGGTTGTGCAATCTCTTCTTTTACAACATTGTTTTACAACAATTTTACAACATTGATCTGTGCACGTGAGTGAGAGATTTTGAGACAGATCTATGCAGACCCCAAATCATTTTAGAATAGAGTATAGAGTAGAGTTGAAGACTAGAATAGAATAGTTGGGACTTTGGAGGTCTTCTAGTCCAACCCCCCGCTTAGCCAGGAAGCATTTGTTTACTAAAAGGGGTTTTGTTAGGACCAGGCGCCTGCCTTGTGCTTTTGGGGGAAGCCTAAGTCAGAAGATCGATTAGATTCGTAACACGGTTCACTGACTGGAAATCCAGGGGTTTGCATAGAAGGAACTCCTGCTTTCCTACAGATTTCCCTGCTGTCCCCGTTTCCGCGGATGTTATTTTTTTTAACTTTATGTATTACATTTCTTTGCTGACCAACGTGGGGAACTCTGGGCGGCTTCCAATGTTAAATCACGACGTTAGATCCCCCTAATGGCAGAATATCGATTTCCCATTAGGTGCTGTGCAAATTGTTTGAGTTGGCCTGGAAGCGGCTTTCAAACGGCCCTTTTATGATGATGGATTCCAGGCGTTGTACGGGGCATTGACGGGACTATCATGAGGCAGCTTTCATTGGCTTTATGGTTCCTTCTTTCTCTTTTTTCCAGGGTCGCCACGTGAAAACAGGGCAGCTGGCGGCAATCAAGGTTATGAATGTGACCAAGGTGAGCAGAGACACGAATTGCTTGGGAAAAAACAGCAACGGACGGTGTTTCTCAAAAGTCTCCTTCGGAGGCCAGGAATGGCTGCGTTTGAGACTCACACAAGGACTGGAATCCAGAGAGTCAAGGGGAGAGTTGTACAGGCAGTCCTCGACTTACGACTGCAAGGGAGCCCAAAATTTGGGTTGCTAAGCAAAACATGGGTTCCTTGAATGTTGCCTGTTTTACGACACTTTGTGGCCCGGTTGTTAATTGAACTGCTGCAGGGGTTAAGTGAATATCGCGGAGGTTCAATGAATCTGAACTGGGGGATCTAAATTCAGCAGCTTCACATTTTTGCCTTTGCAAGCAGTGGGCCCTAAAATGGCCTCTGCTGTGCTCTTCCAAGGCGGCTGGCACCGTTTCCTCCCCAGCTGCTGCTCTGGGTCGCTTTCCGTCTTCATCTTTGAGCTGCTGAGCTGCTCCATCCAGAGCCGCTCAGGCAGCAAGATGAGGGAGGCTGGTCACCACGGGATAATCGGCCCATCTGCCAGGCAGAAATCTGTCGGTAGTGCGTTTCGGGGAGGGGTGGTGAGAACTTCCCCATTGCAGTGGCTGCACGGGCCAGGAGATTTGAGTCCTGCCCACTTGGCTTTCGGAGGTCCGACGGAGCAAAGTGGGCAGGGCGCTTCTTGGTGAGGTGGAAACTTGGTGGCTTTCCCTGGATCCAAGGGGAAATGGAGGGTGACGGGAGCAGAGAATGCTGCTTGGAAAGAAAAAAGAAGGCTAACCCAACATTTGGTAGGGCAGCATATCCTTTGCATGTTCATGTGTGAATTTCAGAATAGTTTGCAAATGTAGTGTTGTAGCCTGCCAGTGGCCAGGGGAGCTGGCAGCAGAGTCAGACAGTGAGGAGGTTGGGGAGGAACATGGGCCGGTCCTGGAGCCTGGGGGAGGCTCGGACAGAGGCAGAGATGGGGCCAGAAGATCTGTCCGTGAATCTCAGAGACTCTGTGCCCAGCCTTTCCTTGCACAGCTCCTCATTTGGACAATATTTCCATGGCAGCTTTCCAAGCTAGATAAGGTCTGTGGTCATAAGTTCACCTTTGAAGGACTGTTTGCCAGGCCTTGGCTGATTGTGAATGAGAGGAATTCACATTCGTTTAACAAAAGGGGTTTTGAAGGAGTCTGCTTCATGCTTTTTGGGGAAGCCTCAGTCAGAACAGATCAAAGGGATGGGGAGAAGGACCACGTTATCCCCCCCTGGTCAGATCAAAATGGGGAGAACTTCCCACCTGGGCCACCACCGCTCGTTGCAGAGCTGCCCAATATAATAAGCCCTAATTAAGAGCCCTCCCACTCCAGGGTAGACAGGTAAAAATTAAGCTTGGGGTATTTGTGGAACTGCCCTACTCCTTACTTTCCGATAGTTGCAGCCAGGCCTCGCCCATTTCTTCTGCAGCCGGCAAGGCTTTCCTAAGGCCTCTCCAGAGCTCCGTTATTGGCTACAGAGGCCTTCAGGAAAGCCTTGCCGGCTGCAGAAGAAATGGGCCGAGGTGGGCGAGGCCTGGCTGCAACTATCCGAAACTGAAGAAGTCCCCGAAGGCCTCTGAGAATGAAAAGGAGGCTGGGGGTGATGGGTACAAGTGAGGGGAGTCAATGGGTGACATACCCCACTCAAAATAAGACCTGGCGCCTTTTCTGGCAGCAAAAAAAATAAGACAGGGTCTTGTTTTCGGGGAAACATGGTTACTGTCACATCTATTTTCATATCCCGCCTTTTTGTTCAATTTAGGATGAGGAGGAAGAAATCAAACTGGAAATTAATATGCTGAAGAAGTATTCTCACCATCGGAACATTGCGACCTACTATGGTGCTTTTGTCAAGAAAAGTCCAGCAGGTCAGGATGACCAGTTATGGGTAAGTCTCTTCCTCTCTCTCTTTTTTTCTGTGTTTGGAAATGTAGATAACTCTTGTTCCCCAGGGAGGAACTAATTGGTCCTTGGATGGGTTCCTCAGCTGACAAAATTGTATTCTTCCCGGGTTTCAGTGAAGTAAGAGAAGTTCTCGGGTGTGGTCAGGAGAAGGATGAGCGAACGGTGGGATCTTTGGTGCTCTCTGAGCTGGTTGTTTTCTTGCAGACATTTCATTACTGGTAACATCTTCAGTGCTGATGACATTATCTAGTCTGATAATGCAACATCTGCAAGAAAGCAAGCAAGTTCAGAGAGCCCCAAGGACCCCACAGTCCAACCCCGGCCTCCAAAGATTCTCTTCTATGGATTAGCAAACTTCAAAACGTTGCCCTGTTTTCTATTGTCTTGGTACGTTTTATGTTTCTCTCCACAATTTAGTTCTATTTGCATATTTCCTCCACACCCTCAGTGACCCCAGTGGCCACATCTGGGGAACCCCAAGGATCCTTGATACAGGTATCTTTAGGGTACCATCTGGGTCTGGCTTCCCATCTCTTCCTTGACCCGAAGTATAAAGAGCTGTTTGTGGGAATCAGACGGAGGTTTCGTACTGATCTGTTTCTCAGGCCTGCAGCCCTCTTTTCTTTTGGGTCTTTAGCCTGCCACACTTTCTATCATTCTACTAGGCATTTTCTATTGTGGGGAAATGGGAGGAGGGGATTGTACAGAGTTAGATGCTATGTAGCCATAACAAAATCCTTTGTAGAAGGCCAAGGTCATCCGTTGTCTCTGCACCTGACCGGAACTGGATGGGTGGAACTGCCAGTGTGGCAGTGGGAGATTGGGCCATGGGATGGACTTGTGGGTGTGGGGGAGGGAAGATCTTGAACTTTCAACTGGGTGGGAAAAACTGGAAAGCTTTCACAGATTCGGGTTTCCCCAGATGTGCCAACATGGCTCTCTTCATAAATTGGAACTTTGAGGAATCCTTTGCCTCGGACTCTGATTTAATTTCGGATGCTATTTGGAACCCTGGCAGTGTTCTTTTTAGTTGTAGCATGCCTTTTAACAAAATCCAGTTGAATTCTGTGTAGTTTCTGGGAGGTAGGATTTAATCTTTCAGCCACCAGAAGTAGCCCTCTAGGCTCAGGTGGAAGGCCTTGTTGCTGGTTCCTAACTTCATGGCACGTCTGTCTTTTTTAAAGAAATAAAAATGACAAGAGACTTTGCCTCTCTGCTTTCTTCTTTCTTTTTTAGAAGAAGACACCAAGATATGTGAATCTTTGCTCTGCATGATCTCTTAAAGAGGCCAGAAACCTGCTAAAATCAGAGGAGGAGAAAGTTTAGGGCTGGTCAGGGAGATACCGGAGGGGGTTGAGAAAACTCTGGGCGAGCAAAGGAGCCTCCGCAGAGGGTTTTCTCTGGATCTTCCCTCATCCGTGGATTTAGACCTTAGGCCCAAAGGCAGAACGCCGCATTCCCGGTAGCCTTCGGGTCTTCGCTAATCTCAACAATTTTGTGGTTGCGCTGGGAGACGGGCCACTGTGAGTGGCCATCTGGAAGCTGACGGATAGCCACCGTAATGGCCGCTTTGCACAGTTGTCCGTGTAATTAGGGATTGTGATTAGAGCAGAGGAATCTAATGGAAGCAGTTGTGTCAATTGCGTCTCTGCCATTGTCGTTATTGTAGAAGGGCTTCCATTGGGGTGAGGGGCTTCGGCAAGAAATGCTCTATGGGGGCACCTGGGCTTTTAAGGCTAATATTTCAACTGTTATGTTGAGGGCACTGAAATTGATGATCCAGTTCCAGTTCTTTTCTCTTTCTTTCTTTCTTTCTTTCTCTTTTTTCTCTCTCTCCTTCTCTCTCACTTTTTCTTTCTCCTTCTCTCCCTCCCTCCCTCTCCTTCTCTCTCTCTCTCTCTTCCTCCCTCCCTTTCCCTTCCTTTCTCCCTCTCCTTCTCTCCTTCTCTCTCTTTCTCTCCCTCCCTCTTTCCCTCTCTTTCTTTCTCCCTCTCTCCCCCTCTCTCAATATCTCCTCACCCTCCTCTCCTCTTTCTCCTCTCTCTTTCTCATCTCTCCCGCTTTCTCTTTCTCTTTTTTCTCTCTCTCTTTATCTCTGTCTCTCTTTTTCCTCTCTTTTTCCTCTCTCCCTCGCTTTCTTTTTCCTTTCTTTCTCTCCCTCTGTCTCTTTCTCATCTCCCCCCACCTCCTCTCTCTCTCTCTCTCTGATACAGTTGATTTGTACACATGGGAAAAGGGGCCTCTGGAAAGAAGGAAAGCGCCAATAAAGGAGACTATTTGTAGCTCAGGGTTGAAAAATGAAGGCTTCTTGGTGCTCTCTGAGCTTGGCAGTTGTCTTGCAGACGTTTCATTACTCAACTAGGTAATGACATCAGTGTTAGAAGGGAGTGGGGGTTTGTGGAGTGGAGGAGGAGGAGGAGGGAGGCTGTGTGGGGTCCTTAGTGCTCTCTGAGGTTGGCGGTGGGTTTTCTGCTTTTGCTTTTCCGAGCCACCCAGTCCAGAGACCACCGAGGAGTCCTCGGAAAGAAAACGTGCCTGTTCAATTGCAATCAGAGTTTACAATATTCATTGCACTGATGATAATTCTCTAATCTTACAATATTAATAACCAGCCTTATTATTCGAGGCATTTGTACCCAGACAACACACTGTTTAATGGAAGATGTTCAGGTTAAAAAATAAAATAAAATAACGATTAGAAAAAAGAAAGGAGAAAGAGAGAAGACCTGCGTGTAAACTTTCTGTACCAGCAGCCACCGTTTTGTTTCTAATCTTCGTCTCCCGATTCCCCAGCTGGTCATGGAGTACTGTGGGGCCGGATCCGTCACAGACTTGGTGAAGAAAACCAAAGGGAATTGCTTCAAGGAAGACTGGATTGCTTACATCTGCAGGGAGGTCCTCAGAGTAAGTCTCTTGCGGTGGGAATTTTGGGCTCTTCAAGGCTGGCTCGGAAATGACCAACAGATAAGGAATCCTCAACTTACGACCGCAAATCGAGCCCCAAATTTCCGTTGCTGAGCGAGACAGGCGTGAGGTGACTTTTGCCCCATTTTACGACCACTTACGGTTGTTAAGTGGATTCCCACAGATGTACATTAGGAACAACGTCTGTTGTCTACGTTTTTTAATGTTTTGAAGAGAAGCCCACCTGGGGTCTTTCCAAAGCTTGGGGTGATGAACCAGAGCCTCCTCCTCCTCCATTAACTAGCTGGGTGCAAGTTGTACCACAATTCCCCCCCCCCATCTGGGGAGTGGAGGAGCACCTTGATGTCTCTTGAAGGCACCTGGTTGGGGGAGGTTGATTATTCTGGGCACCCCTCCAGGGGTGGCATTCAGCCGGTTCACACCAGTTCAGGCGAACCGAATGTTAATTTTGCATCTGGTTTGCTGAACTGGTAGTTGCGCGGACTGGCTGGCCCCTCCCCTCCCAGGAGTCTCCACGCAGCCACTTCATCATGCCACGTAAGTGCAGAGCCCGGGTGGAGCCGCTGGGAGGGCAAAAGATGGGCTTATTGGAAGCCCAGAAATGGGCCCCTTTCCGGCCTCCAGAGGGCCTCCGGAACCCGGTGGAGGCCGTTTTTGTCCTCCCAGAGGCTCGGAAAAAGCCTCCAGGGTCTCCTGGGGAAAACTTCTGGGACCCCTCCAGGGTCTCCTGTGGTGCAGGAGGCTGAGTGTGCCACGCCCACCAGGGCCACGCCCACCCAGCCACAGGGCAGAGAAGCGGTGGCCACCGTTTTTCAATCCCGCCCCTGGCACCTGCAGTAGGATTTGATCGTTTCTGCGGTTTGAAAAGATGTAGAAATGGGCCAGGAGGTTAAAGCCGGGTCATCTTTCTTCTAGGGCCTGTCTCACTTACACGCCCACCATGTCATCCACCGAGATATTAAGGGGCAGAACGTGCTGCTAACGGAGAACGCGGAGGTGAAATTGGGTACGTAGCTGAGGCTTCTGCGCTCCGTGTCGAGTCTTCAGGGCTCCTGCGTGACGAGCAGCCCGGATTGTCTTCAGGGCCACAAGCTTCTTGTGAAAAAAAGGCTGGAGTACAGGTAGCCTTACGGACACACTTTGGAGAAGCTGAATCCAGGGGATCCACCCTTAGAGCGGACGAGAGAAAGGCCCCTCATGGCAGAGAAGGTTTGGGAGAGGATTTTGCTGAAAATGCCCCAATGCTCCACTGGTTAGCAGCCCCAAAGCCTCTAAATCAAAAGCTACCAATTTTGGCTTGGCCCATTGGCCGACATTCTCTGAACAACTTCTCCTTCTTCTCTGAAGCCACAGTTGCCAAAGTTATCGCTTCTTCCCCCCCCCCCCCCCCACTCTTTGCAGTTGATTTTGGGGTCAGCGCTCAGCTGGATCGGACGATTGGCAGGAGAAACACTTTTATTGGGACACCGTATTGGATGGCACCTGAAGTCATCGCTTGTGATGAAAACCCAGACTCCACCTATGACTACAGAGTGAGTTTCCCCATTGAGGTCTCTCTACTCCAAATCAATGGAAAGGAATCACACATTGGCTCCTTATAGGGGGTGAAAAAAATAATTCCTCCCATTGAACTTTGCAATGGTATTAATTGGGGTGTCCGACCTTGACACCCTCAAGATTATCTATCTATCTATCTATCTATCTATCTATCTATCTATCTATCTATCTATCTATCTATCTATCTATCCATATCTATCCCTCCATCTATCCATCCTTACCTGGCAGGGGAGACACCGAGATCACCCTTGTATGAATGTATTACCTATCCATCTATCCACCCGCCTATCGTCTATCAATCAATCCATCTATCCATCCATCCTTCTGTCTATCCATCTATCCAAGCATTTATTCATCTATCATCTACCTATCCCTCCATCTATCCATCCTTCTATGAGTTTATCACATATCCATCCATCATCTATTTATCCGTCTGTCTGCCCATCTGCCCTCCTACCTATCTATCTGTCTGTCTGTCCATCCGTCCGACCATCCATCCATCCATCCATCCATCTCTGTCATCAGCAGGAAAGTGGAAAGAAGGTTAAGTGATTTTCTCTTTCGGACCCAGACAGAGACACACATGGCTGAATGTATTTTTATTTCCTCTTTTTTGTTCTCCGAATGAGCTGCTTGGCTTAGCAGAGCCTTCGGTCGGTCATAAATATTGCCTTTTATTCTATTTGAAATGCAGCTCTCCTGGACTTTCGAGCCAGCATTGTTTCCGTCTCACCTTCTATGCTTCATCTTGATTTCTGCCCTTTCTTTCCTTCCTTCCTTCCTTCCTCCGTGATCGATGCACAGCTGCACTTCGCTCCCGTTTGAAGCTATGAATCCCTAAATGAGGGAACGGGGCCAAGGATGCTTCAGAAGGGACTTCCAACTCTGCACGAATCCGGCCTTTCTTGACCACTCGTTAAAGGAGCCCTGTCTGCTTTGAAGGAGGAAGATGGAGCTGCTTTAATGAGTAGCAAAAGGGCGACAGGAACTCTTCTGAATTCTTCTGCAAAGCGAGCATCATCTTTAAAGTCAGGCCCAGTGGAAATAAAAAACTATTTTGCAGGAAAAAGAGGGAAGATACTCAAAAGGTTTTCTTTATCAATGCTCCTTCATTTGATGCTCGCGGCTGCTTCAGACGGCTGGGGAAGATGTTCCCCCATATCGGCCACATTGATTATCAGCTAGGCCAGTCATGGCTAACCTTTTTGTCATCTCACCCCTGCGTATGCACGCATGACCCCTCCCCCATGCTCCCCCCCCCGTGCATGTTTGTGTGACCCCCCCCCATGCCCCGTTTTGGGCCTAGCAGGCCTCCCTGCAGCCTCCTGGGACCAAAAATGGGGAATGGGGGAGGTGCCGCACCCCCCTTGCTCCCCCACCCCCTCGTGTGGGTGTGTCTCCTGCATGTGCCCCGCCCCCTGCGCATGCACAGCAGAGACCCGAAAATCAGCTGGCCAGCAGGAGGCACTGCACTCCAAGTTGCCAAGGTTGAGGAAGAATGAATTAGGATGAGAATCACTGAAGTGAATGTTGGCTTCCTTCATCTGGTTCTCCAGCTCCACCCGATACGCAAAGCCCTAAAGAAACCTCTTTGGCTCTTGTTTCCCATTCATCAACCACCTTTGTTTTCCAGAGTGACCTGTGGTCCTTGGGCATCACCGCCATCGAAATGGCCGAGGGGGCTCCCCGTAAGTTGACTGCCTCTTCCTCTTGGGGGCTTGTTGGGGGGGGGGGGGAGGCATCTTCCAGCAGGCTGCTTTCAACCCAGGGACCATCTGAGTTTTCAACCGTATCACGGAATGTCCTGTTTGGGAGTGAGTGGGTGGCCTAGAGGTGGGGCTCTCGCCTCACAATCAGGGGGCTGTGAGTTCGATCCTAGGTACAGTAGAAGCAGATATTTCTCTCTCTGGGCATGATGAGAATATATCTGCCGAATGAAACTCCACATTAGCAACAGGAAGGGCATCCGGCCATTAAACACTCTGCTAGGTCCATTCAGTTGCCCAGACTCCACCCCACAAGGGACATTCCGGGGTCATTGAAAGATTAGGATGATCACAATTTCATGTTTGGTTTTGGTCATCACATTATAAAAAAGATGTGGAAGGAGTGCCACAAAGATGAACAGGGGACTGGAGGCCAAAACATATGAAGAAGGGTTGCAGGAACTGGGTATGTCCAGTTTAATGAAAAGAAGGACTAGGGGAGACATGATAGCAGTCTTCCGATATCTCAGGGGTTGCCCCAAAGAAGATTTGGAGGTCAAACTATTCTCCAAGGGTAGAACACAAAGCATTGATGAGAGACTCATCAAGGAGAGAAGCAACTTAGACCTGAGGAGAAATTTCCTGACAGTCAGAAGAATTAATCTGTGGAATGTCTTGCCTCCAGAAGTTGTGAATGCCCCAACACTGGAGGCTTTTAAGAAGAGATTGGACAAAACTTTGT